TTCCAACATGGTTTTGATAGTTACAGACTGTTTGGCAATTTCCACATCAACTTCAAATATCTCTCCATCGGAACTCTGCAACTTAATAGAAGGCATGATGTTTGGTCAGAAGATGGTGAGCTGGAAGTTGGTGAGAACCGACCCACGTCAGCAATGGGAAGAGAAAGGCAGAGAACAATAGCTCGCTAACGTTATCCTTAATGGTGAAAAACTGTAAGCTTTTCTGCTAATATCAGGGACAAGACAAGAATGCCCACTGTCCCTTCTCTTGTATTAGAAGTCTTGTATTAGAAGTAACATCACAGGCAAGAAAAAGAACTCAAGGGGATGGAAATTGGAAAAGAGGAAGTCAAATTATCTCTAATTGCAGGTGATCTGATGATATACATCGAAGAACCTAAAGAGTTCACTCTAAAGTTTCTATAAATAAACCAACATAGCAAAGTGACTGGCTACAAAATCAATAAGTAAAAATTGGTTGCATTCCTTTATACAAATAGTAAAAGAGAAGAGAAAGAGATCCAAGAGTCTATCCCATCTAAACTAGTATGCACAAACATCAAGTACCTAGGAACTAGTTTATCAAAAGAGGTGAGAGTTCCATACCATGAAAACTTCAAAACACCCAAGAAATTGAAGAAGATCTTAGGAAATAAAAAAACATTCCATGTTCCTGGATTGGAAGGATCACTGTCAAAATGACCATCTACTTATACTACTATATAGATTCAGTGTGATTCCTATCCAAATTCAGACGACATTCTTAAAGGGCTTAGACCAGGCAATTATAAAATTTGTGTGGAACCATAAAAGACCCCACATAGCCAAAATCATACTGAAAAACAAGAAATTCGGAAGAATCTCACTACTTTACTTGAATCTATATTACAAGTTCATAGTGACCAAAGCAGCATGGTACTGGAATCAAGAAAGACCAATGGGTCAAAATAGAATATCCAAGAATAAACTCCCATATAAATGGTCAGCTAATTTTTAACAAAGGAGCTGATAACATGAAATGGAATAAAGACAGCCTTTTCAACAAATAGTGTTGGGAGAATTAGATAACCACATGCAATAAATTAAAGCTGGATCCATATCTCATGCCTTATACAAAATTCAACTCAAAGTAAATAGAAGACCTTGAGATCAGATCTGAATCTATAAAGTAGCACTGTAGCACTGTCCTCCCATTGTTCATCGATTTGCTCAAGTGGGCACCAGTAATGTCTCCATTGTGAGAATTATTGTTACTGTTTTGGGCATATTGAATACACCACGGGGATCTTGCCAGGCTCTACCATGTGGGCAGAATACTCTTGGTAGCTTGCCGGGCTCTCCAAGAGGGACAGAGGAATCAAATTCAGATCGGCTGTGTGCAAAGCAAACACCCTACCCGCTGTGCTATCACTCCAGCCCGAACAGCTAACTGAGTAGGAGAAAATATTCACACTCAATGCATCAGATAAAGGGTTCTATGAAGTACTCATAACAATCAACCAGAAAATTTAAAGTCCTATAGAAGAAAATGAGGAGAGGAAACGAACAGACACTTTTCTGAGGAAGACCAACAGACGGTCAACAGACACGTGAAAAAATGCTCATCATCATTTATTATTAGGTAAATACAAGTCAATATGACAATGAGAAATCATCTTACACCAACGAGAAAGGCACTTATCAAAGATACTGGGAGCAACTTCTGTTGGCAGTGATGTGGTAATAAAGGAGCTCTCATCCACTACTGGTGAAAATGTTGTCTGATCCAACCCCTAGGGAAAACAGTATGGAAGGTTCTCAGTAAACTCAGAATTGAGCATCTATATGATCCAGCAATTCCACTTTTGGGTATTTAACACCCCCCCAACAGAAAAAATATTCACTCAAAAGAATATTTTCATTATTCATTGTAGCTCTCAGCAGCTAAGATTTGGAATCAACCTGGATGTCCAATGACAGATAAGTGGATCATTAAAATATGGTACACACACACACACACACACACACACACACACACACACACTGGAATACTACACAGCTGTACAGAATGACGCAATCATATAAGTCATAGCAACATGAATGGAACTAGAGGACATCATGTTAAATGAAGTAAGCCAGGAAAAGGATAAACAAAGGATGATATCACTCACATGTAGTATTTAGAAAAACTGGATAAGAGAATGCAATGTTTTAAAGGGATGGATGAAGCCTTCAGAGTCAGGTGAATGAGACCCATTGTAATTACTGGTTTTGGCATATCGAATACAAAATGGATAGCTTGCCAGGCTCTGCCGTGCGGGCGGAATACTCTTGGTAGCTTTCCAGTCTTTCTGAGAGGGATAGAGGCTTTTGGGGCGACCTCTAATCGCCCTCGTAGGTGTTACCATATTTGAACCCTATCAAATATGATACGGCAATTCCGGCAATTCCGGAAGATGGGTATTTAGTGTCTTATGATGTGCCTAGAACAACCTTGGTCCCAGTGTATAGGAAGAATAAGGAAAAAATGAGTGAAGGGGAGAGGAAGAAGAGACAGATGAGAAGTAACAAGAACCAGGTCAGGGGAGTCAGATACAAAGGTGGTATTAAAAGATGATAAAGCCAAATACCCAGATAACAAAGTCAGAAATACTGAAATCAAGAGACTCACGCTTTAACAACCAAACCTAGATAGGTGCCTGTCAAAATAGAAGACTGGGGGGGAGGGGGGCAGGGGGGATACAGGAGGTGATCTGGGAGCACTCGTGGACTGAAGTTGACACTGGTGGTGGGATTGGTGCTACAATATTGTACATCTAAAACTCAACTATGAATAACTTTGTAAATCGCAGTGCTTTATTCCAACATTTTTTAAGAATGTTCGAAAAAATACAAAGTAATTTTTGTCCAAAAAAACCCAAACATTCATATGAAGCAGCTAAGCAGAATATTCACGTCTAGGAAGTCCTGGGCAGCAAGGGGAGGAGGCTTCTCACTTGAGGGAGTCTGTAATGAGCCAGGGCCTGGTCAGCCTTGTGGTGTCCACATCACCTGTCAGCTGTGACACATGGGTCCTGACCTGGGTGGTGGTGATGAAGGAGGAGGTATGAGAGTGCACACAGAAACAGGCACACCCACACCACACATGCCACAGCAGGGTGGAGTTCTGTCCCTCCCCTGCTCTCTCATCAGAGCTATGTTTTGTCACCTCTGACCCCTAATGTGACCCAGAAACCCTCAAATGACAAGATGATCCCTCCCATCATGGCTCCCCCACCTGTGGGCTCCTGGACCCCAACCAGGGCACAGCATAAAACACACTTTTCCAGGGCACTCAGTACCTGCACACAGCCTTGTCCCCACAAGCTTTTGAGCAGTTTATTACCTGGCCTGACTTGCCCAGGGGATCAGGGTAACTACTGCTTTCCACAGAAAGGCTCAGACACACACTGAACGTGATCCTGACTGCAGACAGCTGGGGTTTCGGGGCACCTGAGGGCTTGGAGGGCCTTGGTGCGCCTTTGTGTTTAGCTGCGGCATTGTGTAGATGGCACAGAGGGGGGTCGCTGTGCCCATGGAATTAGAAGGAAGGGTTCCACTCGGTCTCTAATGTGCAGTATCCAGGGGAAGTCATCAATTCCTCAGAGAGTGCCCACAGAAAGTCACCTCCTCCTCAGAGTGTGTCCACAGACAGTTGCCCTCTCCTCAGCATCCACGGGCACTCACCCCCTCCTCAGTGCCCATAGAGAGTCTCTCCGTCTCAGACAGTGTCTGTGGATACTGACAAGTGGATAGTCACCCCCCCCCCCACAGATAGTAAACATGGACACTCACCCCCTCCTCAGAGAGTGTGTTCGGACAACCACCCTTCCTCAGTGAATAGTCACTCCCTTCTCAGACAGTGTCCATGGACAGTCACCCTCTCCTAAGACAGTGTCCACGGACAGTTACCCCCTCCTCAGTGTCCATGAATAGTCACCCCCTCCTCAGACAGTGTCCATGGACAGTCGCCCCCTCCTCAGTGTTCATGAATAGCCATCCCCTCCTCAGACAGTGTCCACAGACAGCCACCCCCTCCTCAGATAGTGTCTGTAACAGTTGTTCCCTCCTCAGACAGTGACCGTGGAGAGTAATCTTTCCCACAGGCAGTCACTATCCCAAACAGATTGGTTGAGTGTTGTGTAGGCACCTTTAGAGACTTGTGGGTCACATAGGTCTGCCAGTGAGTGACTGATGAGATGAATATCATTTACCACATCAACAACGTCTGCACAGTCTCAGCATTTGGGCTCTGGCTCCCTGCTGGGGGGAGACTGGCCCCACAGGCATGGGGATGTGCTGGTTAAATGAGGATGAGGAGCAGAAGAACAGGAGCAAGGAGTGAGACTCATACATGTTTTATTGTGGAATTGTTGATTCTGTGCAAAGGACCCACCCCAGGCAGAGATGAGCCCTGAGGCCACTCATGCCACAATCACAAACACACAGGGCTCCTCTATTGTCTGCCAGCTGAGAATCTGAATTACAGTATACATCCTGCTCCTCTTAGGTGCCTGGTCCAGAGGATCTTGCCTGAGAGAGGATCCAGCAAGGCCTGAGTCCATCCCATTTATAACAGGGTTCCTGGGACACATGTCCAGCAATGGTGAACCCTGACCACTGCAATGGTATCTCCAACAAAGCAGACCTCTAAACACACAGCTTTCTCTCACACCCACACTCACAAATGCAGGCATATACTCAGAAGTCTGCATATTCACCAACATTAACATACATTCACCAAAACACTCACCCATACTCACATGTACACACACTCCCCCATCAACATGTTTCCTCACACACCACACACTCACACTCATCCATTCTCACCCACTCTCACACTTGCACACACGCACTGTACACAAACACTTACACTCACACACACTTGCGCACACATTCATACACACCTCCTGTAGAAGTCATCTTCAGGAAGTGGACTGTGCAGGTACGACCACTCTGGGCATATGTGTGCGTGGGTTTGTCTCTCCCAGCACTTCCAAGGCACCTCATGGAAATGTGGGATCCTCTGGCCCTGCTGGCCACCATTCTACTCCTTCAACAAGCCCAGCTTTCTCAGGGCCTCCCTTCTGTGCTCATCAGGGACCCCTTTGGGGGAGATCCTGACACTGACACAGGGAGGGCGGGGCAGCTTGTCACGACTCTGTCCGTGGTAGGCCAGGTGCTTGGAGGTCTGCTCCTGCTCCAGCTCGGCCAGGTTGCCCACCTGGATGCCTGCAAAGTCCTTGCCAGTGCCCAGGGAGGCAGGGCGGGGACGATGGCGACGCTGGGCATCAGAGAAGGTCTTGTCCAGGAAGGAGGCCTTCTCCAGAGAGCTGCTGGCTTGGGGGCCGGGACCCTTCTTTGCAAAGAAGGAGCTGCTCAGGCCCACGCCCGACCTCTCCAGAGTGTTGGACTTGAAGCTCATCTGCCTCAGACCAGGGAGGCCGCTCTCCCGCAAAGGCTTCTCCCAGCCGAGTTTCTGCAGAGCTGGGGGGCTCTGGGACCCCTGAGACTTCAGAATAGGAATGGGCCTGGATGTGAGCACCGGAGTCTTCCCTGCAGCGGGATCCTGGGCAGGAGTCTGGGCCTTGTCTGGAAAAGAACGCTGGGGAGGAGCCTTTCCTGGAGGAGGCACCTGGGGGGCTCCAGGGGCCAGAACGGGAGGTGTGGGCTGAGCGGGTGCTGTAGGCAGAGCCGGGCCTGGAGCACGGAGGTCCCTGAGCTTGCCGTGCTTGCTTACATGAGCACCAGGCTCCTGCTGGTCCTGGGGCAGCCCCAGCTTCTCCAGAGCTTCGCGGCGCACCCGCCTCTGCTCCTGCAGGGACGGAGAGGCCAGGCCAGAGTCCCCGGAGATAGCTTCAGAAGGACGGGCCAGCCAGGTATGCTGGTCCCCATGGAAGCTGCTGCGGCTGCTCTTGAGAACAATGTTTGGAGGCAGTTTCCGGGCCTTGGGGGTGGTGATGAGGGCCAGGGTCTCTGGGTCACCCCCTGACTTGGCTATACTCTCTTGAGCTCTATCCTGGGAGGACGCTCCCGAAGGAGCCCGGGTACTTCCTGCCTCATTGGCTCTCTGGGCCATGGTCTCTGACCGAGTCTCTTCTCTCTGCAGGGCTCTGAGCTGCTGCCCTGATCCGGAGGGCAGTTGGGGCTCTGAGCTCAGCGCAGGCCGGACGTCCCGGAACCCCTCTGGTGGGGGGATGAGAACTTCACCCAGTACTGCCTCTCCAGCTGGGACCTTGGCACTCTGTTTCCGGTTAGGTGCCTGGACAAGCCCCTCAGAAGCTCCTGCGGGGTGACTGGCAGTCTCAGGGGCTCTGCCCATTAGGGAACGGTGTCTGCTGATATGGATGTTTCTGGGGAGGCTGTGGGAGCCGGTGCAGAAGGCCCAGCCAGGCTGGGCTACCCCATGGAGCTCAGAACCAGGCCCCCTCTCAGGGTGTGGTGGAGACGCTGCCTCTTCTGCAGGGTCTGCAAGGTCAGGAGACAGACAGAGTGAGACCTGCAGCACAGGGCTGGGGAGTGGGGCCTTTGCTTCCCTGGGACTCACTGAGCATCACCACAGAGACAGGCTGGGACGCCAGCCACAGTGGCCGAGACAGAGCTCGCAGGGGCCCTTCAAGCCTTTGCTGGGCTCTGGGCCGGGAGGCAGTGCTGACCAGTGCAGGGTGGCAGGTGGCACTGCTCAGCGGGACCAGGTCCCCTTTCTTCCACCTCACCTTCCAGAAGCACCTGAGGGGTTGGCTCCACAGGTCACACTGTTCCTGCCTTAGTGATGTGGGCTTGGGGACTCTTTCCTCCCAGAGGACCAGTCTCTGGGACACCCTGCTCAGTGACTGCACCACTGAGCAAGCACCCTGCTTCCAGGGGCGTGTCCCTGGGCCCACGCTAAGGGCCACATCAGCACTGTGCCTTCCCTCAGTGTGTCCTCAGTACCGGGGGGTGAGCGGGGCCCACTTCTTATCTCCTGCAGCTGCTTTCTGGGCCCTCGAGATTAGCACAAACTGACTTGGTTGCCCCAGGAGCACCCAGCCAGCCCTCAACCCAGCTTCCCACCCCTGTGACCATATCTCCTTAGCATTTCTCCACAGGAGGGTGGAGCTGGTCACACCCAGCAAGTCCCAGGTTCCAGAGACAGGTGGGAGGTCCCCTGAGGGAACCCTCTTCCCACTGGGATGAGGCCTTCTTGTAACTGAAAGCACACATGAGGGTAGTCCCCAGAGCAGAGGACCCAGAAGGGCCATTCTGGAGGTTGGTGGAGACGCTGCCCAGAGCAGTTCTTACCCTGAGAGGTGGGCTGTGTGGTGGGCAGAGCTGCAGGTGCTTGAGGGATTGTGACCTGTTCAGACTTATCAGTGGACAGTCCACTGTCAACTTCAGTGTCCAAGGAGCCAATGGTCTCCTCCAAGAAGAGCAGGCATGCCTTCTCCTCAGCAGACAGGAAGTCAAAGCTGCTGTCACTCTGGAGGGGAGGGAGAGACAGCTACAGAAACTGTGGGTAAGAAACACCTTAGTGAGGCAGGAATGTTGAAAGGCTGGAAACTTTCCACAAGGCTCTCTGCCCGCCTGCTGGCAAGGCTGCCTGAAACTGCTGCTCAGGACAGACAGGTGGGCGGCCGCCCCTCCCTCGGGCATAGCCCTTCTGGCTGGCTGGGCAGAAGGAAAGTGGCTGTGCCCCACTGGTGATCAGTGACCTTCCTTACTTGGTTCTGGGTGGGATGCTGGGGACCCCAGATCAGAGGCAGTCCTGGATTTGGGTCCTCATGGTGCCTGAAGCAAGGATGGCACTTGTTACGTCTGTGATCTAGCACTAACTTTCATGGGCGATACAATTGACCTTAAACCTGAACGGAGTTCCTTCTCAAGGCATTTCTGCTTACTAGATTTGGCATGTCAAGGACAGTTTGAGGACAAACTGGAGATGCTACCAAGTCAGTCGGTGAAGACAGCAAGACGTCCAGTCACGGACCAGCCTGCTTACATGTGACTCTGAAGTGCATTCCACACAGGATCTCTTCCTTGGTGTATTTACTTTTTTTTTATGGCATCTGGTTCTGGCTAACATTCAAATAAGTGTGCATTTCTTAAGCAAATATTAACTTCAGGTGGAGGGTTGAAAAGTTGGGCTGGGCTGAGTGGACAGAGCATACAGTCTGTGGTAGGGTGGCGGCAGCAGAAGGTCATTGTCCCTTTCAGGGGGCATGTAGGATGTATGGGAGAACATACCAGGTCACCTCATGGCTCCTGACCCTCCAACAGGATCAGAAAAGTGTCACAGAGTTCTGCCCTCATGGGAGAGGTCAGAGATGAGCAGAGAAGGGAAGTGGCTGCGTCCCCTCCTGGTATAATCAAACCTGTCCTGTGATTTGGGACACTTCTGCAAATCCACTGGGAGAGCCGGGTGATATGGGGGAAAGTAGGTGAGGGTGGGCTGGTGGGAACTATCTCTGATTCCCTGTGCTCCCCTGAGGGCTGAGAAACCCACATGGCCAGGGAAACCCACACCAGCTCTTAGAGGCCCTGGGCCAACCAGGCTTCCCTGAATCGAGTTGCTTTTTATGGCTCTCACCCTCCGGAAGGCTTGCCAAGAAAACCCAGCTCTGAATTTCTGCTCTGCTGATGATTCATTCTGAAACTTTCCATACCTGTTACACTGCCTGTCCAGTGGCTAGGAATGACTCATCAGGCTCAGCCTCACAGAGTCAGGAGGATGTCCATATCCCGGCCATCATGGGTTCTAATCAAACTGTCCCCAAACTCTCTGAACCAGCTGGATTGCGTTCCACCCAAAACCTAGACCTCTCTCCCAGTCCTGATACTCTGCATGCCCTAGCTAGCCTTCACATTTGTGGATAGCTCTCTCTTTTTCGTTAAAGTAATGCAACCTGCCTTTCCAAGGCCGGTGACGTGTGGGGCCATGAAGAACACAGGGGATTCCCACTTGGGGTCACCCATCAGCACTGCCAGACAGCACCTGCTTCATGGACATGGTTAGTCAGACCCAGGAGAAGTGCTTTGTTCTAGGCCTTGGCAGAAGGAGATGCAGGGACTGTGGAGTCCCTCAGCCACCGACACCCCCCTGCCATTTCTCTTTAACCCAGAGCTGTGTGTCAAGAGCCTTACAGACTTCTGGCTTACTGCCTCCAAGAGCCTTATGGTAATATCTCATCCCTCTGAAAACAGAAGCACCTGACTGGTAAAGAATGAAGCCCAAGGTCCAACAAACTCTTTTTTTTTTTTTTTTGCTTTTTGGGTCATACTCGGAGATGCACAGGGGTTACTCCTGGCTCTGTACTCAGGAATCACCCCTGGCGGTGCTCAGGGGACCATATGGATGCTGGGAACTGAACCTAGGTCGGCCGCGTGCAAGGCAAACGCCCTACCCGCTGTGCTATTGCTCCAGCCCCGGTCCAACAAACTCTTGACCAAGCACTGGGTATGTGGGGCTCCAGAGGGCAGGCCTCTCATCTTGCTGCTCATCACGAAGAACTGCAGGGTCCCTATGAGTCAAGTGTCCCCACAGCTTCAGGTCGCCAGCCTGCTCTCTCTCCCCAACCCAGCCTATGGAAACAGAAATCTCGGCGGTCTTCCCACTCCCAAGGTTGTCTCTACCTGTTCTCTCTAGAGCCAGGGGTGACTCATAACCTGACAGAAAGATGAAAGGCCAAGGGCAGTGAGGAAGGGCGGGGTTGTGCGGAGGCAGGCGGGGTGGGGCAGGGCAGGCAGCAGCATGGAGGTACATACAGATCCAGAGCAGGCGGAGGCAGGGCTCTTCATGCTGTCACAGCTGCCGACTTGGGTCCTGGGTGCTGAGCCAGGCCCCACTGGCCACGGCTCCTTCTCAGGCATAGCCGGAAGCAAGGTGCGGTGCAGGGGCAGCTAAAGGGCCCCCAGAGGGGAAGCGAAGAGAAGCGGAGAAGGTCCCCAGCCGGCCTGAAAGAGAAGGATCAGAGCTACTGTGAGCCCAGCCCTGGGCAGCATACGGCAGGGACACCAAGCAGGCAGCGAGCAGGAAGGGCCACAGGCAGCACCAGCCCACGGAGGCCCCGCATGGCCCCACGCGCACAGAAGCTGCAGTGAGGGTGGAAGGAGGGTCCGGGCAGGAGAGACCTCACTCCTCGGGGCAACCGTCCCCCAGCCCCCTCTCGCATGAGAGGTCTGTGCTCAAATCTCAGCTCTGCTATCTGCCGGTGTCACCCGGAGACAGTCTGGTGGGCCCCTGGCTCTCAGCGAGTGGAAACGGGGAGTACTCCCACTGAAGCCCTGTGCTTACAGCACCTGGCCATGGTGGCCACAGCCCGCAGAGCAACATTCTTACTACTACCAGTGTCAGGTTCCAACCCTCTCCCCTTGGTGGCTCCCAAGAAGGCCCCCTGATGAAGGAACCGGTTGGGGAGGGGCTGAGAGGTCCTGGCTCCATGGCTGGGGACACAGGGCTTCCCTTCCACTGTCCCAAGGACTCCCATTGCCTGTTTGTGAGACATTGTCCCCACCAAAAGACTCTTCTAGGCAAAAAAAAAAAAAAAACCAAGACACAACTTCTAATAAAACCTGGTTAAAAGATGGTGCTGAGGTCAAACAGAAAGGAGAGAAAGTAAGAATGGGAAGGCCGTTGGCCTGATCCTGAGTCTCTAGACCCCCACAATAGGCCACACTTTGTACTGTCTTCCCTGACCACAACTCTAGGTAAGATGCTCTAGAAAAGTCTGTTCCAACTGAGACCGGGATGTGGGACTTGAATTCCAGGGCAGGTGTCCTATAGGCTTTTGCCAATAAGTGTCTCTAGTGCCAAAACCGGATTTAGCTTTACTGGGTGACTTGGTCTGCCATTCATAGAACAGGCAAGCACAAGGCCCCTCTGCCTGGAAGGAGGCCCTCAAGGGGGCAGGAAGAGAAGAACTAGCCACTGAAGAGAGAAACCAGGTCCCTGGGAGTCAGAAAGCATAGCAGTGAAGGGCATCCCCCTGACCTGGTCACACAGAGATGCTCAGAAAACACTGGGTGAGTGAGCCTGCTGAGATGAGCTGCTGGGAGATCGACTCCTTTCTCTCTGCATCTATCTTATTTAATTAGTTCATTTACTTAAGGTATCTGAGAGGCGCTCAGGATGCCTGCGGGCCCCACGGGTGGAACTCAGCCAACCCACAGGTGACTCCGTGCAAGGACCTGAGGATACAGTCTGATCCCACCCTGAAATGCTGGGGGCTACCTGGACCACCCCAGTAGGGCCTGACGCCTCCAGGGCTGCACCTGTTGTTGCCTGGGGACTGAACTGAGATTGGCCACGAAGGTGTGAGTGGGCCTTCGAGCATGGCACTGACCTGTACTGAGTGCTGAGCCCCTCCATCTGTTTTTATAATTAAGTATTTTACTTCCCAGAGAATATGTGGCTCTATGGAATTCTGGCAATGTTTTCAGTCAAACTAACATTTGTGAGCACTTGTGAAGTATGAGGACTGCAAAACCATGCAAGACAACGGCATCATTTTGAGAAAGGCAGTGTGGATCCAAGGGTCAGTTTCTGGATCATTTTCTTATCTGAAATATCAGTTGGTCAATACTAAAGGTGATTCACTGCAATTCATCTAATCATCTGAGTGGGTGAGAAGGTGCCACCTCTCCCTTTCAGAGGACGTGGTTGCCCAGGCCACTCCCCATTGCATGGTGAACTTCCCTCCTTCCACAGCAGAGCAGCAGGAAGAGACAGCACTGTGGCAGCTCACCAGACTCATCCTGGAGTGGCTACGTTCTGGTGCATGGGTCGGTCAGACAGGTGGAGACAGTCCCTTCTGCTCCAGCTCTTTCTGCTCTCCTGTCTGGGACAAGCAGGGGTAGAGCCCAGCAGTTTGCAGGCAGCCATGCAGAGGACAGCTAGAACCTGACTCCATGACCACCCTCTGCCTGAGAAGCCTTGCAGGCGCCCCCACTTCACCCTCCGAACACCCGAGCCCAAGATCACTCATTCCCTTCACTCCCCTTCCACGGAACACCTGAAGCTGCTGTTCTGGTCACAACCTTGTCCCAATGTCAGCTGTGTCTAAAGGAGAGAGAACTTCAGAGAAACCTATGCAACTTGGTCTCTGAGCCACGGGCCCAGTCTGTAAATCACCCTGAGGAAGACTCAGTACCTGCTGCCCCATCTAGCACCATGTTATGCCTGTTCCTACACAGAGCCTCAAGTGTGGCTAGTCTCTCTGGTCACCTCTCTGGCCAGCTTCACTTGGTCTGGACATTTCTTTCCACCAACTTTGCAAGCTTGGAACTTGGGGGTCTATTTCAGGGTGGTCATCAAGACCTGGCTCCTGCCTGTTAAGAAGTCTGAGGACAACACTCAAGGGGGGCAGTCTGGTATCCCTTAACCTTTGACCTCCTTGGAGACAAGGGAGTGGGCTGAGAGGTCCCAGCCCAGTCAGGCTGCCTGCTCAGACATTAAACATTAATCACTGCACTTGCACCAGCAAGCCCTGGAGAGAGCAAACACATGGAGGCATGTGAGGCTGGGGCATCCGCAGGAGGCGGGCACAGGCACCGGGCCCCTGAGGCAGACACAAGGCCCTGTTGTCTCCTCCTGACAGTCTGCACCCCGTCGGTTGAGGGTCCCGAGAGGAGCTTCTCTCAGACTAGGTATGCCTGTAGTTCCCAGGGCGCCCAGGGATGTGCCTTGAGCTGGAGAAGGCGCCTGGAAGACTGTGAGCTGCTGTATCCTGCGTCCCAGGAGCACACAGCACTGTTAGGTCCTCCTGTTTGCAGTGGTCTGAGGGGGGAAAAAAGCGTGGCACCCTGCGCAGTGCAGCTGCTGAGAAGCAGGCCATTTTCACTGCCGAGAAGCCCAGCTCATGCCAAACGTCCAGGTGCAGCCTCGCTCAGCACCACCTCTGCGTGCTGGGTGCCCTACCCACAGCCAAGGAGCTTCCTGTTCACCGGTCTCTGTGCCTAGGACCTGAAGTGCTGGAAAATCAGTTTGACTGAACCCCCATAAACTAGACCCTCCAACTAGTTATCTATTATCAATGCTATCTGTTATCAAATGAACTGGCAACCTGGTGGATATTTTCTCAGTGAACCCAAACTTCCCACCCCCTTGCGAATAGCCTCACAAATAGTTGAGAGCTTGGATGCCACTGCAGTGGCCTCATGGGACCCCAAGGCAAGGTTCACCTGAGACAGACATTTGACAAAACCTTGAGGCTTTCCTGACAGACCCTCAGGGGGACCAGGGCCCTGTCTTCTCACGGGTCCCATGGTCACTCCTACCCCTCTCTATCCGTCAAAATAGCAGATGGACAAGAGCTGCACCCGAGCGCTGGTCTTCATAAAACACTGAAGAAACTTCCCACCTACTCCAATCCCAGGCAGCCCAGGGAGGAAGGAACAGGCTGGAAAACCTGGGACATAGCGGAGGGTTTCCCCACGTCGCCCCCTCTCCCACCCCCCGCCCGCACATGCGCAGCAACAATGCTGCTGCAGGGTCAGCAGTAGTGGGTCAGTGGTGAACTCACCTCTCCGGGCTAGGGCGGACGAGAGGGAAAAGCTCTTCCTGGCCGCTGGCCTGCCCTGTGTTCTCCTGACCTCCTCCTAACTTACCTGGCAGGTAGACTGCTTCCCTGCGCCCCGCCCACCCGCCAGCCCCGCCTCATCCAGCTGTTGGTCCCGGTGGGCGGGCCGGGCCTGGCAGGGCCAATCTGCGGTGCCCAGGCCGCAGTTCGCAGGGGAAGGAGGGCCGAGGGGAGGGGCCGTTCCTGGGCCGGGCGGGGGTGCGTCCAGGGAAGGGATGGGCGAAGGTGATCACTTTTTTTCTCTCTCTCTCTCTCTTTCGGTCACACCCAGCGATGCACAGGGGTTACTCCTGGCTCACACACTCAGGAATTACTCCTGGCGGTGCTCGAGGGACCATATGGGATGCTGGGAATCGAACCCCGGTGGGCTGCGTGCAAGGCAAACGCCCTTTAGGCCGTCCCGGCCGCAGCCTCCCGGGACCCCCGCGAGGGGCCTGCAGCAGGGCCGCTCACCTCCCGGCCTCATTCCGTGCGTCCTCGCCTTCCCAGCCAGTTCCCATCGCTCCCATCCTCGAGGCCCTCCTGGAGGCTCAGGACCCCGCGAGTGGGCTCAGCCCCTGAAGGCGGCGGGGACGAGCGAAGCTCCCGCCGACGCGCCCTGCGGCGCCTTCTTGCCTTACTGGACTTGGGGTGGGGACCGGGACCCGCGTGTCCTGCCGGCGGCCCCGATCCCGAGCACGGCTCGGCTTCTGGACCGAAGGACAGGGCACCACGCCGGAGCCCTCCGCTTTAAGGAGAGCGCCTGAGGGCGAACAACAGGCGGGGCAAATGCCAATTGGCAAGGCCTCATAGAAAACTGTACGGATACTTTTATATATATACATAGAAGGTAGGTTTTACTGAAATTTATTTAGAAAGATGTGTGTGGGGGGGGCGGGGGGAGAGGGGAAGAAGTCATACTGAGAGAGAACACAGGCTTTTCCAGAGTAGAAAAAGGCAAGCAAAGACACAGAGATACGTGCTCCAGGGAGGACACGGGCTTGGAGAGTTGTGTGGATCCTTTTTAAAAAGCTAAGGACGGGAGCCCGAGCAATAATAGGGCGGGTAGGGCATTTGCCTTGCGCGCAGTCAACCTGGTTTTGATCCCTGGCATCCTATATGGTCCCTCGAGCATCAGGAGCAATTCCTGAGTGAGAGCAGGAGTAATCCCTATTGCCAGGTGTGGCCCCAAAACAAAAAACAAGACAACAATAACAAAGGAAGCTGAGACTGACTGGATAGGGTGTTGCCATGAACTGCAATGTGTGTGCTGGTTTGTTTTTGAGCAGTTATAGGCGCACCAGAGCACAGAGCTGAGAGGGAATGCAAGCGGCTCTGGGTATGGCCCCCAAACCAAAAAACAGCAAAATTTAAAATAGAAATTCCATGCGATTCTGGGGCCCCGGTCCTGGACATTTATCCAGAATATAAAGATAAGAACTGAAAAAGGTCATGTGTGCCCCCATCTTCACAGCACGAAAATAGTCCAGTTATTTGATCCGCAACTGAGTCAACATTCTAACTCCCCATCACCAGAAAACACAACCAACCCAAATGCCCACAGACCCTGGCCCCATCTCTGCCGTGGGAAACTGCTCAGTCACTGAAAGGGT